GGTCAGTCTTGAACCTTGTATATACACTGTTTGAGTTTAAAAATGACAGTAATAATAAAAAAGATTTCGAAATCTATACACCACTGTTATGTTTTGGCTTTCATACAACGTTAATATTGTTTTACTTTCCAACTGTACCTCGTAGAGTATAAATAACCCGCGTAACAAGTAAGATTACAAGTACAAATATACTCTCCTAAGGAATTTGTTCTCCAGGAAACAGGTTTAGCAGGTTACTCTAGTTGCAGTCCTCTTAGTTGTACTAAACGCAAGTCCGACGCAAAAAAAAGAAGAAAGAAAACAGCTAAACGTTTGGTTGTAGACAAAGAAACATTTTGGATAACACATCTCTTAAAAAGACATTTCACTGTCCAGTATCGCTGCACATTTTTACTCGTCATGTGTGGTTTGAACATTCCTGGAAATAAGATTTATGAAAGTGTTTGATTAGTTGTTTAGATAAATTTGAGAAAACAGGGATTTCTCTGCAGTGGCGGATCTATCGCCTTATTTTGGGTGAAAAAAGAAGAAATGACTGAAGGAGGAAAAGCCCCCGGCTGAGAGTCTGGATCCGCCACTGGACTTACATTAATTACTGTAAATTCGTGATAGGATTTTTTTCTGTGATCCTTACAGGCAGATGGAAAAGGTTATGATTGTCGCAGGCGGGCTTTTTCCTCGATGGCTGAATCGATCTGTTAGTTAATTGATCGATAGATCCATTCGATCAAATGTTGCGAATGCGGTAAGCTTTAGGAGATGTTGACTTCATATAACATGCAAATGCTCCATCTTGGATTTTTGATGTCTCAGAAAAGCCCGAAAACCACAAAAAATAACTCAGAACTAATTCAGATGAAAATTAAATTGAAACATAATTGCTAAAACAAATTTACACTGCGTGTAATAAAATCAAGAACTTCAAGAGAATAATGAATTCAGTATCAAAATCACTTCAGACATCGCTAAGTTTGGCGGATTTTACTTGGATTAAAAATAAATAAAAATAAAGAAATAAATAAATAAGTTTAAACGGTTAAAATTAGCACCCCCCTCTGCGAGCCCGCCTGTCTGAAGAGAGACCTGAACGGCGGCTTCATATTTAATGACTACAATCGAACTTTCATTCTGATCATGGCTGCCATTAAACGCATGACTCATATTGACATTATTAAAATTTTGTTCATGATATAGCCTGAACTATTGCTTTCAGTTGCTTTACCTTATTGGTCGCGGCCAGCGTTCAAACTAAGTAACACGTGTTGAGTTTCCGGCAAAAGCTATTTAAAGAGCCGCTGATAGATTTGATATATCTTTTTATTCTTCAAATGCAAGCATTTATATTTGGCCTTAGAAACAGCTGCAATTGAAAAGGAAATCCATTAAGCCAAGCCATACACCCTTAAGTTAAAGCGAACCGCCCATTAGTCGGTTGAGAGTTTTCACGCGATCGCAGGTACTTGTAACTTATACATCAAAACACTAAAGAATAAATTCTCGTCTTTCATAAGCCACCGTGAGCACATGTAAGTTATACGCTGACGACTGGTATTCAAACAGAATTTTCTGTCAGCCAACAAAAACTAATTTTCTATTATGAATGCTGGACGAGGAACTTGTTTTGATGAACTTTAACAAAGATTTTTAAAAGTTTAATCAAGCAAAATTTTCTTTTCTTGTTGCTCGCAGCCTAACTGGTAGTATTGTACGATAAAACTTACAGTTCTGGATTGTATACGTGTTTAAATTCTATAATGAAAGATAGTAAAGGTAATGTCTTCTCCAATGAAGGGGACTAATTTCGCATCGTCGTTCATCTATACATCATTTATGTGTTGTTTTGGGTTCAGTAGTTTTGTTGTGGCGTGAATAACGGTTAAGATATAAGAGACTGCATCAAGTATATGTACTTAAGTGAATGGCAATCGAAAGCAACCCGTTTGTAATTGCATTGCTAAAGCACGAACGGGAACGAAACCGCATAAAGATATTGAATAGTAAATCATCTTTAAAACGCAATACCTAAACATTCGACTCGACTAATATCCCCACTGGGCTTGTGTAAACTGTTACTGCTTGTTACTGCTTTTGTGGACTCAGTAATGACCTTAACTCTTTTGTAATTGCCTTTGCTAAAGCACGAACCGGAACGAAACCCTGCGTAAAGATATCGAATAGTAAACATCTTAAAACGCTATACTTAAACATTCGACTCGACTAATATCCCCACTGGGCTTGTGTAAACTGTTACTGCTTGTGTGGACTCAGTAATGACCTCGATGCGACAGCTATTGCCTGTAAGAGAATGTACTCCTACTTTTCTGCCTTCAATTGCAGACTGATGACGTTTTCGTTTACAAATAATACCCAGCTCACGGGTAAAATCACGTACAAAAAAGAAACATATGCAAGGATTGACCGCGCAATAGGAGCTCGCCAGTACGCGAGATACATAATCTACAACCTTAAAACTACTATTACACTTTGGAACCGCTCCAGGGGAAAAGAGTTTCAGAAAGGTAATCACAATAAAAAGCATCCAGCATAATAAAGGTGATGAAATAGTAGCTATAGTCATTCTTCGCAAATTGCTGTTTCGTTTTCGAACCCGTATTGCTCCATTATCACTTCGATACATTGCCATTTTGCATCTTCGGAGATTGAATACAATTGCAGTGTATAAAATTGAGGTGATAAGCAGCGGTAAAAGTAAGACTGTTGAAAATAAAAACAGGTTGTAGTGAAGGTGCGCTGACTTGTGATCGAAAGCAGGTCCCCAGACTGCTTGACATATTTGAAGATTACCACTGTCACTGGCTACCAGGCGAAACGTGTAAAAATAAGGCGAGTGAAATGTGCCGGCCATGATCCAAGTAGAAGCGACGAGAAGGCGACGTATTTTCACGGTGATATTTTTATACTGTACAGGATACACAACTGCTAAAAATCGTTCAACGGCAATCAAAACTAATCCTTGGGTTGACACTGACAACGACATGTCGCCAAGGGAAGTGCAAATCTTACAGAGAAACGTGCCTCCCGCTCCGTGAACAAGAAAAACGTTAGAACCGGTGACTTCTCTGGTAACTAGACGAGGGATTAAAAACACTGCCACCAGAAGGTCGGATGCAGCCATGTTAGCAATAAGCAGCAGGATCGGTTCTTTCATCCTGACGAAGGCCGTAATAAGTAGCGTGTTACCAACCAGCGATGCTACCAAAGTTAAGACATGTATGGTTGTGGTAACTTGTCTTGGTGCCAGATAAACTGCTACTATGGTGCAATTCTGTTGTAAAGAGGAATTGCTCCCGCCTGCAACATCACCTAAGGTGTCTAAGGAGATGTTCACGCTTTCAGACATCGTATAGTCGCTGTATGAGGCTTGATGCGTCTTTGAATTATGTTGCCGGTTTATCCTGAGTTCTTTGCTAATTTAGCGATAACTCTACTCGTTACGCAAAGACCAACGTTCTTGTTATAACAGCAACAACAAACGAACAAACCAAAACGATCGAAGGCATGTTTTTCTCCGTAGGGGCAAGGACCAAACGGGCCCTGTTGGAAATATCTGACAGCCGGTATAGTACCTAGGACGAAATATTTTTTCAGAATCGTCGAATAATCGCTGAATATTACTACCAACTCTTGAATCTGTAGGTGAGGTATCAATCATCTGCTTTGACTTGATTTAAAAACAGAAAACCTAATTCTAACGCCCGGGTCTTTCATTTCCTATTGACGAGGCAGGTGCAAAGCACAATGTTTGAGGCGATTGGAAAATTTGCTGTTAATTTGTTCATGTCATTAAAAAGAAACAATTAAATAAAGTTGAATGTCTACCACAACTTCTTAGTAGTCAGGCAGAGCTCATGGAATCATTGGCCCCCGCAATTTAAAGGAGAGGAGTCTTTCAATAAATAAATTGAATTTTCGGCACGAGCGTTAGTCTATTTCCTTTTTTCTTTTGGTAAGGAAGTAAAGAAAAAAATCATCAAATTACACCAGCCTTTCAGACTAAACGAAATTAACGATAAGACAGCCATGTCTTTTAGTGGCCTCGACTTCATTGTGGTAACTCATCTGACATGTGGGTTGTGCGGTGTTTTAATTTTTTGACGATGAATGCTTATCAGGTGCTTGCCACAATTGCAAATTAATAGATGCTCCCAAGCTAGCTGTTTTATTGTGCTAAGTTTGGTGATCCATGTCGATCCCAAAAGCGTCATACAAACGGGCTTTCGGCTCTGGTCTCCGAAAAATCAAGAACGTCTTTCAAAACGTCCAAAATTTTGTTTCTTTTCCGTTTATATGGTTGTTGTGTTATAATTGTGAAGACTACGACAAAACTACAAGTCTTTGTAGTTTTGGGTTATAATCATTTAGTATTGGGAGCTTTGCATCTTTCTATGTGACTCGGTTTCTACTATATCTTGGAATATCTTGGAATATCTTGGATATTTGCCCTGAATTGGCTAGAGTTAAAATGAATTGCATTAAGAATTGCATCTGAATTGCTAGTAGGTGATGGTAGGTGTTAACGATTGAAAATAGTTTCGTCATAGTAAGATGTTTTGTCACGATAGAGATTACCATTTATGGTTATCTTTGTTTTCCCTGTCATCGCAGCGTTCTACAGTTAAGTTTCATACCTGTGACGAAGTTGCCAATCGACTCGCCTGGCAAGTGACACACGTACAGAAATGCTTACCTGCAAACTTACTGAAATGAAAAACATTACTAAAATCTGAATCTTTGAGGAATATGTCGTGCTGGGGCTATTACTATCACCGAGAGCTACCATAAACAGCAAAAAAACAAAAGAAAGAAAGAAAAGAAAAACGTAATTCAGGTCAACCATTTCTTCCGCTTGGGAACAGACTTTAATTTTTCTTTATTTTAAATTTTGTTGGGATGGTAACAACATACAAAGATACACTAATCAAAAAGAAAAAACAAGCTAACACAACTTAAAATGATTGAATTACAGTAACCTAATCAACTCAAACCGCATTTTGAAATATATGATTTCTCTAGCTGTATTGTATTATTTCACTTACTTCTTAATATTGCTAATATGGGCAACACAAAACAGAACAAAACAACAAAACAGAAAGAAAGATGCTCTAGTTTGTTTACCGCATATCATAACACCCGTGTTGATTTAAAGACGGGCAAGGGTTGGGGGAGGGCCATAGAGCAGCATTCTTAGCAACTTAAGATAATTTTTCAATTTGAAGTTCAGAAGTGAACCTTCCAATGAATTCTTTCAAGTTTATTTTCTTAAGTAGGTTTTGTGTATATAAATAATACTTGGCAAATAACAGTGTGAATTTAATTTTTTTAACGACTTATTTGCGTCTTGAGGATAAGACTTTGGCTCTAAACCAAACAGTATTTCAAATGGAGATGGCGAGAAGGTGCCATTTTCTTTGTTGGACCATTTAGTGACTTCAGAAAAGAATTGTTTTGACCAATGGCAGTTCAGAAAGGTGTGGCTTACTGAGTCAGGTTCTTGGCATAATAAACACAGTATGTCTGATTCTATACCGTGGAAGAAAAACTCTTTTTTAATCACCACAATTCTGTGGAGCAGTTTGAGGTAGAATTCGTTAAGCTTGTTGTTTTTGCAAACATTTTTAACACGATTGAAATAGGTGTCTAGTTGAAGGTCTACAGTTTGTAGATCACGTGCTCTTTTGGAGCATGCCTTTATCTCTACATTGTCTTTGTACATTAAAAGGCAATAGTATTCTCTGCTTTTCAATTTGTGCAAGTCTATGACGGTATTCGGAGAGAGTTGGAATGCATTTTCGGCGAGAAAGGTGCTTTTATCTACTTGTAGTTCTTTTGTTTTATTAAGAAGGTGCTTAGGAATCGCGGAAACAACCTGCATATAATTTAGAAAATTGCATTCAACCTCGTACTTTTTGATGAACTCTGGGAATGTAAGAAATGAGCCATTTTCCTCTAAAAGACCCTGTACAAGGAAGATTCCTTTCTGAAACCATTCTTTGTAAAAGACGGCTTGATTTCCAATTAAGATTTCTTTGTTGTTAAATAATACCAATTCTTGGTCAATGGCATAAATGTAGGCTACTTTAATCTCTAAAAAATGTTGTAGCATTGACTTGTAGAATTGCGGTAAGTTGGATTGCTTCAGGAGTTTTTCATTGTGATTGCATTTTAACAAAAAGTTCAGGCCACCATATTTATTCAAGAAGTAGCTGGGAATCGTCTTCCAGGATTCCTCCCAAGCTTGCTCTTTTTTCAATAGCCTTACGATCCAAGCAAGTTTTAGTGACTTGGACATTAACTCAATGTTAGACGCACGCAAACCTCCGTCGCATTAATCAAGAGACATAACTTTTCGTTTAATTTTGTCTTGCTTTTTTTTTCAAATAAACTTAAAAAGAAGGGAGTTAGTGTCTTTTATATATTGGGAAGGTGTGTCAAGAATTGACATTGAGTACACCAACTGTGAAATTCCAAGACATTTAGTTATAAAAACTCTCCCAAACAGAGTAAGGCTGCGGGATTGCCAGATGTCAAAGATAGTGCTTAATTTGTCCACTTTTACTTGGAAGTTTTTTGCCGCGTTTTGTTTAAGGTAGTAAGAGATAAATATTTCCAACGTTCTGATTGGCTCCTCAGGCCAGTTGAATTCAAAAGGCTCGTCCACTTTGTGTCTCCAAGGGCCGCGCCACAAAGCTTTAGTTTTGGATGGGTTTAATCTCAGACCGGAAGCATCACCAAAGTCACTTAACACCTGGATAGCGTTTTTAACAGATTCGCAGCTGCTACACTAAAGTGAGGTGTCGTCCGCGAACTGACTTATTTTGAATTCTCTTTTAAAAATCTTTATACCTTGTATTTCTTTGTGTTGCCTTATCTTGCATGCCAAGACTTCCACAGCTAAAATAGATAGATAAGGCGACCGAAGGCAACCTTGTCTCACACCTCTTGTGAGTTGGAAAGGGTTGATACAGAAGCCATTATTCATAATGGAGCTCTCTGGATTGGTGTAAAGAGGTGATATCCACCGTTGAATATTGTCCCCAAAATTAAAGAGAGCAAGCGTCTTTTTAATAAACTCCTATTCAAAGGTATCAAATGCCTTTTTGAAGTCAAGTGTAATGAGTATCCCAGGGATGTTTTGGTTTGTGGTTTGCTCTAGAATGTCGTTAGTTAACCTGATATTTTGGCCGATATATCTTCCCTTTATGAATCCAGTTTGGTCCGGATTGATAAGTAGTTTTAGTACCCTTTCCAATCTTTTGGCTATTACTTTCGACGCGATTTTGTAATCCAAGGTTAGTAGAGTAATCGGCCGCCAATTTGCCAGGCTATGTAAATTTGAATCCTCCTTCGGTATGAGATTAATAGTACCTCTGCGCTTAGATATTGACTTTCTCCTTCTCTATAAGCCGCATTATAGCAATTGATTAGATCGTCACTCAATAGGGCGAAAAAACGGCAACTGTAGAATTCCCAAGAAAAACCGTCCTCAGCGGACGATTTTCCGCTGGAAAAGGTTTTGAAAACTTCTTTACATTCCTCCAGAGTAATTTCACCTTCTAGTTCCTCTTTTTCTAAGGCCTGCAGCTTTGGTATTTCCAAGTTGTGGACAAAATTGTCAAACAGGTCATCATCATCAATATCCCCAGCAGAAGTATAGAGATCTCTAATGATAAAAGTTTTCGATTTCTTTCATTATTTCGTCGGCTTTGTGTAGATGTTTTCCGTTCGACAGTTCTAATTCTACTATTTTTTTTTTCTGTTGTAATTTTACTTTTCTAGATTAAAGAACTATTTCGTTGGTTTCTCACCCCTTTCTGTCCATCTGGTTTTAGAACGTAGCATTAAGCCCTTCGCTTTTTCCTCGTAGAATACAACGAGTTGTTTTAGAATTTCCTTTTCGTTCAGTGCATCGTTGATAAATTCAGCGTTGGTACTGTCAAAAATCCTTTTTGCTAGTTCCTCTAGGCTTGTTTGCAAATCCGATTCCCGTTGGCGTTGTGCTTTGGCTTTGTTTTTTGAGTAGGCAATTGTGAGGCTCCTTATTTCCATTTTAATAAGCTCCCACCTTAGTCTGTGATCATCCAGGTCTCGGTATTTTTCACCTATAATGGGATAATTTTCTTTAATGCGATTTACACATTCTTCATCATCACTAAGGGGTTGTTAAACTTCCATAGGCCTGGACCCCGCCGCTCTTCCGAAAGTTGTAAAGTAAGTTTTTCTGCTTTGTGGTCAGGTGCGTTGGAGGCCTTTGTATCTATGTTCACAACGAAGTTGGAGAAGGAACGAGCAGCAAGAAAGAAATCTATTCTTGAGCAAACTTCCAGTGCTTTGGATTCATATGAGAAGCTTAATATTTGCGGGTATTGTTTCGGAAGATATAAATTATCTCTAGTTCTTCCATCATAGAAATACGTTTGTTTCGATAGGTAGATTCTTTCCATGGGAAGCCACCTCTTTTGTCAAGTGGTTGGAGTGTGACATTCCAATCTCCACCTATAATGAGATTGTTTATATCTGTTTTGGACATTAAATACTCGTTTAAGTTATGCAAAAACATTTCTTGTTGTTGTGAGTCGTTCGGGGCATAGAAGTTGCATAACGAAAGACTAGCTGATTTGAAAACTAAATTAATAGAAATGATCCTGCCAACCCAATCTCTACTGAAATCTTCTATTGATGATGATAAGCTAAGGGAGGGGTTAATGAGAATCCAAACGCTACGCTACAAACAGACGTTAATGAGAAGAACAGTTTTAAGTAAAGAGAACCGATACGATTTAGGACCGGACAGAATTCTTTAGGAACGGTCCCGTGTGGCATGGCCAACAGAAACGTAGGTTGGAGTGTACTTCAACTGAGAAACTAAACTGATGGACTTTTGCTGACACATAAGAGTTAAATACTCCGTTTAGAATGCATGACATGGCACGATTTTGCTTAATTTGTACGTAAATAATGGTGCTACTTGCAATTCAACCACTCTATTCTAAAAGAAACTTCACTGTATTCAGATCACATAAACAGTTTTAAAAGTAAACTTTTGCACAGCGCAGGCGCATTGTAACTCTCGGCTATAAAGCACCACAACCACACGCAACAACATATTTATTTTCTTGACGCGTGTGTAAATATAATAACACCAAGAATCACTTTAAATCATTGAATTTCTTGAATATTAATCCTGAAATATAGATTTAGAGTGCGTTTCATTACGAAAATCCAAGATTGTATTATAAAATCCAA